TCAAAAAAGTTAGCCAATTAAAATTTGGCTATATTCATGATAATACGATTTTATATAAACTTACAACAATATGTGTATAAGCTCAGCTATTTTATAAATAAAATCTAAGCTAAATTTATATTAGGAAACTTGTAAGTTGGTATTATCGAGATACTATCGAAAAAATAATCGATTTTAATTTTGGTGCAAATTACAATTCCTATTTCTTACTACCCGAGGATGCTGCAAATTACATATCCTTATTTTGGTGAAAATTACAAACACTACTTTCGACTACCTGCAGTGGTGCAAATTACAAACTCCCGTTATAACTCGCGTTAAAGCGGTAAATACTCGTCGGCGGGGTGATTTCACGCGCATGAATAACGCCGCGTTGTAACTAATTACAAAATCACTCGACGTGAAAATAACGCTTTCTGTTTGACAGAGCCTTTAGACTTTAGAGTTTAGAGTTTAGACATATCGCAAACAGTGCCGGATCTTGAACCCTGACGGCCCTGGTGCAAAAAAGAATATTTATTATTTATTATTTATTATTCAATAATTCATTTATATATAGTAGATGCCTGTCAATTAATATTGATGTTTTACCTGGTATTACGTGACACGTGTACCTATAACATACTATTATACTAACTTCTATATTTACAATAGTGGTACAAGTTTTAAATTTTAAATTTTGATGTAAATGTAAAACGAATTAGTATTCGTAAAAAATATGTTATCATTACTTTAATTTAAATGTATTCTGTATACCTATACATATTATAATATGGTATGAATATGCAATGATAGCGTGGTAGGGTATTTCATGAGACTATTGGCTGATTGCCGATCACTTAACTGCAGGTATACCTATAGTACCTAACGACTATAAAATATGACATATTCTTACATGCAACATACTGTTTTGTATTATAAATGTAAAATGTAGGTGGTGGACGGTGGTGGCATAGATACATAATGGATAAGGCCATTTGTCTTTAATATAATATATTAATATCTATGAGTGGTGGTCGAGTGGTCGACCCCTCTATTCTCTAGTAGTCATGGATCTAGAATATTGGCCTCATGAAATAAAGAAAACACCTAAAAAAACCCCTGACTATACTACTGACCGATATAAAACCTTAATAATAAGTAGGTAAGTACAAACAATCGTACCTGCGGATAGTGGCGTCATTTTCGGGATGCAAGGGTGTGCAAGTGCATCCTATGAATTTTTTTTAACCCCCTTTTTGTGTAGATCATTTCATAGAATTATAGAATAAAACAACTAACAATAATTTTGTAATATTTTGATCTATCACAATAATTTGTAGATCACCAGTCACCACAACTTATAAAAAATATAATATTGTTCTCTTGGATAATACAAACACAAATTATATAGAAGTTAATATACAAGCGATAGGTACTAATAAAGATAATTTGGTATAATTAAGACATTTTTAACTCCAACCGTGATCAGTTTTTTAAATCAAATTCTCTTTATCTTGAACAATTTTTTAACCATTAAAGGCATTTAAAAGTTAATTCTATATATTCATCTTCTCAATTCTCTTCCGTTCAAGCACTACCTACTTAAAGCAAAATAAATTTATCCTGAGATAATAACACTAACAGGAATTCTATCTAAACTTCTATATTCTTTTATAGAAACATTAAAAATACTAACATTAAATTTAACATTGACAGTTAATACAGCTTCCAATTAACGCTTTTTTTTGACATTGAAAAGAGGGAAAAATTACTTGCGCAACTATGGGAGATAACCAGGGTTGTAAAGTATTTGAATAAATGTATTCAAATACTTTTTTCAAAAACTTATATTTTCTTTTTCTATAAACCATATAAAAGATTTTACTCGTTTAACGTTTTGAGCTGGTTATGGCCAATTTCAAATTTCTATTTTTTTTCTTTAAATATCAATAAAATTGTATTTGTTGAATCAAAAAGAGTGAAATCTAACGCCTGATATATTGCTACAATTGCAGATGAACAATTCTATAAATACATAGGCACGTTTTTTTTATAATCATTTAAAGTTCAAATTTTTACGAAATATATCAAATTGAAAATTTACTAATTATTTAGTAGCTAAAAATGTATATAATGTTCAACTTTTATAGCTAAGGATTAAAAATTTAAAACTAAGTCCCACGTAAATAGGTTAAGTATAAAATACTTTATTCACAATAATATCATCTAATTTAAGTACTTAGTGGTATCGTATCTGATTGACTGTTTTCGCCCAGAATTGTTTTTTTATACAATGATATTATATCATTGAATTCAAATTTAACACCATCCATTACAGTGACCCATTTGTTACAAAATTATGACATACTGTACAGAGAGACACCCACTTGCCAAAATTTTTGAAGTTAAACTTCTTATGTGAGGGGTATTGAAAAAAAAGAGAGTGACGCTCGGGCGTCACGGACGCTCGCGCGTCACGAAAACGGTACGATGTTTTGTTTATAAAGTTTTTGATATTTTCCGTTTCAAAATTTTGTAATCTTTTTGGAAACATATCATATGATATTATAAACAAACCAGTATAAACGTATAAACCATGATAAAATAACATGGTATGATGGCAACGAACTGAATATCGTCGGAGTTTGCGCATTTCATTGTATCCAGTTCTCCTCATAATGCACTATGTATATATATTGATCATGAAAACCAATGAAAAGCGGCGAACTGGATACAGCTCTGTATGATGGTCGGCGGGGTAAGGGGTATGCGTATCATAAAGTTGCCAGCATACCATGTTATTTTATCATGGTATAAACAATATTCCGTAGTCAAGTTGATAAAAGCGAAAACGCATATATAATAAATATTCCAGAGTGCGCGATAATATAATATAATATAATATAATATACTATTTTTAGGTGAGTCAAATTATGTATATTCAAAATATAACTCGATGAATTTCATCATATTATATGACTATACTATAAGTATTTAATAAATAATAATAATAATAATAATTAATATTTAGTTAATATTTGACACATTTACAATGACCAACGCACCTATATTTTTCAAATAGTATATAATACTCTGATGGTTCAATTGTATAATGATATGACATAATTTGATATTACTCAATATATATGTCTATGGTCTATCAAGTATATTTATTTATTTAATATCAAATGTAATAATTTATGAATAACAAATTGATATATATATATTATGTACCTACATAATATGACTAATGTATTTTATAGATGTATGTATATACATAATAGTAGGGTTATATTATATGTATGGACATGAATTACTACTGATATTAGTAAATATTTTGATCCATTGGTCTAAAAGTATAAATTAAGTACCTACACATAATATTATAAAGGTAGGTAGTAGGTATTACTTAATGTATTACGGTTTTTAGGTGAGAAAACAAAATATAACTTAATGTATTTAATTAAATTCTGGCAGGTAAATTGCATAATGGTATGACTAAACTATACTATACTAATTAAACTATTTAATAAATAATAATAATAAATATTTAATTAATACTTGATTTCATCTACATATTTACCATTACCAACGTACCAATATGTTTCCTTTATACTTGGATAGAAAATGGTACAAGTACAATTATTTATATTATATATAAGTAACCTACATGTATACTTTGTAGAAGGTACCTTCTTGATATATCATTATTAATACCATAAATATATATATACCATTAATTAACATAAGATTATTATTATTATTATTATTACAAAACCTCATATCAGTTGTATGACTGAAAGAAGTTTCACTTCATCCCCGCGTACTTCTTACACGCTCGTTTTTTTTTTATTATTTTGATTTTAAGTTTTTAAATTTATATAATAATTGATAAATGATTCATACTATTATTTTTATATAGGTACATTTCTATTTGAATTAGTTTAAGTATATAAATGAGTACAAAATCTGAGGATGAGTATTATTAAAACTTGAATGCTAAAAATAAAAAAAAGTTTTTTATTCCATAATGGTTTGATAACAGTTTTCAGCATCCATATAGCTAGATAAAAGGCTATCTCTTATTCTCTTGACTAATATAATACTATTAATTAAATAATTAGAAAATTGTGTCACTTTATGATTATGAACATGCCTATACTAACTAAGATAGTAATTAATCAAACGACTATCCATCAATTCGAGTATTTGGCAAAACATATTTGATTGCATTTCCAATAGCTTTTTCAAAATCAATGAAATTTGATGTTATATAGTACCTATCGAACTATTCATTATTAATCAGATCATTATGTATTTATGTGGGTGTTTAAATAAACCACAATATTATCAATTATATTAAATTTCTTAAAATGTTATTAGAAGTTCTATTTTCCTACATTTGTGTGGTACTTACATTTTACATGTGCTTAAATTGTACCTACAAAATGTCTGGGTGGAATTTACCATGGACTGTTTTGTACCGATTAGTTTTTTTGAACGGAATTTACAAGTACCCATTTATTGTATTTCCCAAAACGAGTTGACAGTAGTTATGAAGTAATTTATTTTGACCAACGTAATTATTTCGATCGTAGAATCTAAATATGGTACGACCTTATAACAAATGCACTTTTAGAATATTTGATCAGCAGGTACCTAACCCGATTCTGTATTAATATTCAATATCCATACATAACTTGGCGACTGGCGTAGTCTGAATTATATAATATTAGGTAGGTACCTAATACCTATATGTCTATACGTTTTGTTATAACTCTGTTTGCATCAATGCCAAATGACTTAATTTTACAATACGAAATTCAATGTAAGTATTATATGGACGATTTAATAATACGGTCACCTGCACAACTTGATAGGTGGGACACTTGAGTGTCATCGGTCCGTATAAAAGCCAAGTCCGTCTCGATACAGATATCATTCGCACTACAACAGCTTGTAAAGCAATATCGACTTCCTTCAACTCATCAACATACCAAACCAAATAAAAACCAAAAATGAACGCCATCATGAAAATCGTAAGTACAAGTATTTAACAGCTGCAATTATTTATTAATAATTTTATAAAATTCAGATAGGTACTAAAACACTATTGATTTGATTTTCAAACTTGTTTTGTGAAGTAATTATTTTTTAAGACCTGTTTGCGTGTGTGACGTTATGAATTTAATACAATTCATTTTTACTAAGAAATTAATAATAAAAATCGGTTAGGAAGCCTGTTGATTCATTACAGTTTTTACACATTTTGTGAATCTAATTCACTTCTTATATTATTATCAATTATCAAAGGAAAAAATGCACTTGCGATAAGTGGTGCTTTCCAAACACATACATTAATTGTATCTGGAAACTAAATAATCAATTTATAGGAATAACATTTTAAATGTCATGAGCGTTAAATTATGCCGTTTGAGAAAAAAATAATACAATTTTGTGATCGTTACAAAATAGTAGCGATCCACTCGATCATCACACTGTATAATAGACACACACACACACACAATATCATGTGTTTAAATGTCAAACAATTCTGCCTTAATATATAATAATATTGTTCTGTGGTTCTACGTTCTTTGATTTCCTAGTTTTTCTGACGCGATTCTCGTAAATAAAAGTTGCCTATACCAAACCCCTTAAACAAATCACGGTGAATCAGACGACTATGTCATAATAAATAATAATATTATTGAATTTATAAACCACGTTATTATACATATTTACACGTTCTCTTAGAACACAAACGAACGCTTATGATTTTTGTACTTTGTGTTTTGCGAAGACATTAGCCGCCGTTGCAGTTTTCGCTTCCGCCATGATGACCGCTTCTGCCAAACCAGCTGAACTCGTGCCCGCCGCCGCCATCGCTCCAGTGGCCGTTGCTACGCCCTACGCTAGCTCGTTCACGTCTCACAGCGTGGCCCATAGCGTAGCCACTCCGGTCGTACCGGCCGCTCCGGTCGTACCGGCCGCTCCATACGTAGCCGCAGCTCCATACGCCGCGGCACCATACGTCGCAGCGCCTTACGCGGCCGCACCTTACGTCGCCGCGGCACCTTACGCGGCCGCTCCTTATGTCGCGTCGCCTTACGCAGCCTCTTCTTACGGTTACTACCCCTACGCCGCTCCGGCTTACCTGTAAAGGACGTTCCAACAACGACCACCACAAAGCAGTCTCCATGCGACAACGGACTAGAGACGACCGCCACGACAACTACTGCTAACGCCACTTTTTCTTTTCATTCTTATAATATTTATATCGCATTATTCATACAAATATCGTACACACGTTATAATGTTATATAATTTGTAAACATAAAAAAACCATAAATGTCACTGTGACACGAACATAATGTGTATCGTGGGTGTATTTACATGCAAAAACGTAATGTACCTATATTATAATATAATATGTAAATATATAATATATAATATGTACATAATATGAAATTAATATTTGTTTGTTTGTCTTCTATAATATATTACACCTTTTTTATATTCATCTGTTTATTTGAATTAATTTGATTGGTTTTGAATCAATGCAAATTAGGTTGCAAGTATAGACATGTACGAGGCTGTTACACGTAGCTTATATTAAAATAATCTTATTATGTAAGACTTACTGATGTTTCAAGACATTTTTCATTGGTAGGTATAAGTAACCAATGTTTTCGTTGTCTTCCGTAGGTACTCTAAATTGTTTATTGATTTAACAACAATTAATATTGAACGCATAATTTATGCTTTTAAACTATCATAATAATTTACATTTTTGTTGAACCGCAGAAATTAATAGTCCATCATCATGCCAATAGAAAATAATCTTATTTTAACTTTCAAGTGCTTATAAGGCTAGATATTTAATTCAGATATATACTTCAAAGTTTAAATTGTGTAAAAAATATACTACAACATTTTTAAATAAAACCGCAAAAGTTACTGAAAAACGTTTGTCTTAATATTATACATACACTAAAATAATTTCATTATATTATGCACAGGTGCCTATATAATACATTTAATATTATAGGATTATATGCATATTACATTGGTACCGTCAGTGCACAGACTTCTATACTACACTAGATAAGGAACTCTTATACAATGTACATTGTTACAAGTGAAGCTCAGCTGTGAACGGCCGCCATTTTCTCGGTTGGCAAAACATTTCATTTATTATACAAAATGTATTAGGAATAATATTTTTTTTAACGGTCAAATAAAATAGTATATGTAAAATGACTTATATAAAATATTTTTTTTGTAAACTTAATGTTTAAAAATAATAAAATACGATATAAAATAAATCATAATATCATCTTATTTGTCATATGAAATACCATACAATTGCCAACCGACCTTGAAGCTTCAATTCATCACCGGAGTTCGCTATCTAGTAATATATAGAAATCTGTGCGTCAGTGGCGTGATGAAGAGAAATATTTTATCAGGCAATTCATTTTTTGAATGACCAACCTAACCTTGATTACTTGATAAAATACTTATTTTTGATTTTATTATTATTATTATTATTAAATAAATACCTATCATATTGAGATAAAGTTATAATCTTGTACTACAATTTCTCACTAAATCCAGTACGCACCGTCTCACCTCTTTAAAACTGCCTTTCATAAAACTTTAACTGCCCTTCAAAATCACGTTCAATACGCCACTGCTATCAAACACGGTTAGCAGTATATAATAAATGTTATTAAGTTTAATGTTTTAAGTCAAATTTGATTTCAGCTAATCAGTTTTCACAAACATTTCGGTTGTGCTGTAGTAGATAAACTAGTTCTAAACCTAAATTTATCTAAACTACCGTGTAGTTTTTTTGTTTCTTCGTGACGTTTATTCTTTAATTTTCTCTCCATTGAACCACTTAATTATTTTGTTGACATTTTAAATTATTAAAAATAATAAATAAATTACAATTAATAGATATTCAATAACTACGACCTTCGTATACCTATCAAGTAACTACGCAATACAATAACGTTAATAGTAATATTCCGACGATAATAATATTATTACTATTTACTATAATAACGGCAATTAGATTTTGTAACCTGGCAAAGTTGATTAAGATCGTCGTTTTCAGGGAAAACTCATAGTTTATAACCCACCAAAATATCCAACTAAGATCCAAATCTATTTGGTTTTCCCAAAGTATGATAAAAAGGTATACAATTAAATTTGTATGCTGGAAGTCAGCGGGCCCCTCTTATGAGTGGGCCCAGTTCAAATGCACCCATTTGTCATTCCATAAATATGGCACTGCTTATATACTGATATTATCTGGTTATAAATGTTTTGTAACATTTTACAATTTTAAATTTTTCTTTTGATTTCCCAATGCTTTGGAAAACAGTTGGGATATAATAAAAAAATAAACAAATATTTATTTTATATTTAGCATAATATAATATTATAAGGTATGTCAACTACTAATTTTGAATTTAATACGGCGTATTGTGTATGCAATAATGATACATTCGATCGCCTATATAGGCTGACCCTACAAAATTGTATGATTTTCGAATCACCTAGGTTAAAATATTATTTGCTTACTGTTCAAATTTTCAAATAATAATAATATTTATTTTTTTTAAATAATTAACACTTATTTAAATGTTGATACGACTCAAGACGATTGAATAATCAATGTAATTATTAAGTAATAAATTATATTATATTTATATAATCACTATTTTACTATTTTATTATGATATCTTATCTTAAATACTATCATTGTATACACCAATAATTATCTTTTACTATTTTTAACTCACAGAGCTTGTGAATCTTTAAGTTTTTAGCTTTGATCATAATATACCTACTATGGATGGAACCACAGCGTATTAAATCATTACAAAAAAAAGTTGTCGTTATCAGCGATGAGTCACCGAATTAGGGGGTCGATATGAGCATGCGCAACTTGACTTCTCCCATATTTATCCACAGATACCTATTGTACCTATTTATAATTATGCGAGGAGTTGCATTGGGCTTGCGCACATCTAATTTGTTGACTCGTCGTTATATCGGCAACAAAAACATACGTTGTGGCTCCATCCATGGTATATGATCTAAGGTTTTTAGTAGGTGCCTATAGATTATAGAGTATAGATAGTTGTATATTGGTGTAATTATTTATAATTGATAAGAATTAAACAAAAATAAATTCAAATATAGTTATTTTCAATTAAAGTTTTAATTATATCACATAACTTGAAATATAAAGAATAATTTACGACTCATAAAAAAAAAAATACTAAACAGAAGTCATGACACAGGAAATTAAAAAAGAAGTAGGTAATAGTAAAATATAAAAACCCACTTACATATCGCTTTGTCATCATAATAGTGTGTGCAGATTGCGAAATAATTTTAAGAAATAAGCGGGGGTAAATGTTGGCCATTGAAAAAATGATAAAAGAAGACAATCGTATTTTTTGGTGGCTTTAAGAAGGCGGAACCAAGGTTCAAAAGTAGTGGAAGTCGAAGGATATAAACTTTCTACATTACCCACTATATTAAGGAATAGAACTAATTCGAAGTAATAGTATTATGAAGGAACATGTTCGTTCAAGACTTGAGTGTAAATATTACACATTAAATATTCACAACTATAAAGTAAAACGCGTAATACCGAAAGAAGAAAATCTACTAGAAAAACATTTTTTTGTAATAATAGATACTACTACTACTACTACTACTACCTTTTATCGTGTTTAGGATCTACGTTGATCAGTCAGTCAGGATTCAGGACAAGTTCGATTATATTATATTTTAGCCATCCCTCCGGTGTTTCCCGTGAGACACACTTGTGATTATGGGAGGAGTATATTTTCAGTATATTTACACCCCGCGAGGTGCAGCGTATAAGTAATTACGAATGTTTTATTAACACGTTGTTTATGTTGTGCATACTGCATGTGTAGGTTCCCGGGACAACAGTCGAAAAATTAGGCTTGGGAATACCATTTTTACTAAGCTTTATAGTTTTTACCAAATATAATATAGGTGCAGGTCTAAAATGATATTCAATTATAAGTCACAACTAATGAGTGACCTTAGAATAAACAAAAATATATTATTTAGCTTATTTTTTTTGCTGGACTGATGGCGTCACTATTTTTTTCCTACTTTTTTCCTTCCAGATTTCCAACTTTTTCGGCTGATTTTCATAAAATATTCTTTCATAGAAACCTTGTCCTGGCAATTATAACATTCGTAACATAGTTAAATTAATTGTAACTATACTAACTATAAACATTTGAATAACGAACTTAAGTATGATCATATTGGTTTTATATTTATTGTTATTTATTTTTTAAATATCATAAACACCTAGTTAATCGAATAAAATTAATGATATAGTAAAATTTCCATTATAAATATTTAGAGATCAAATCTTCCAAAATATTACTATACAATTCAAAGTATTGTATTTTTATAATTTTTCTCTAAATTAACGGTCAATACCTATACTCAATTTAATATTGATTTGTGTTAATATAAATCAAACTATAAACATGTTGTCAATCAATCTCTCTATAATTATTTAATAGTTTAATACATATCAATAGTTCATAAAAGTATCCTGCCCTAGGATCTGTTTAAAAAATACTTAAGAGTTACAAATTACAATTGATATTTTATATTTTGAATATTTTGTCTGATAATATTAATGTATTAAAATTTTAACTTAAATAAATATAATTATTATGAATTATGATTATACACCTACGACCTACTTCGACTTCAGTTAATAACTTATTTATATACTTAGGATTTTTAATTATTATTAACCTAGTACTTAAATAGGTACTTATTTAACTATTTAAAAATTAATTTGTAATAGCTAGTTTAAAGAAAAATGATAAATTATTTACAATTTAATGAAAATACTATTTTTACATGAATAAATCAAACCGTTTTCTAACCAATAAACCACTTTAGGTACTTACATATTTAAATGACTGATAAATCTTGTAAAAGTGAAATAAATATCGTTTATATATAATTTGTTAATATAATAAACTACTTTATCATTTTACATTTATCAGAACAGTAGGAACTATAGTAACACATAATCAATAAGATAATAAATATGCTTACTAATTATATTCCATT